TGGTACTGGGACACTGCTGGCACTGTTGGCACCGGTGGCACTGCTGGCACTGCAGGTACCAGTGCACTGGTGGCACTGGTGGTACTGGGACACTGCTGGTACTGGGACACCGGTGACACTGCCAATACCGGTGGCATTGCTGTCACTGCTGGTACTGGGGCACCAGTGGCACTGCTGGCACTGCCGATATCAGTGGCACTCCTGGCACCGTTGGCACTGCCGGCACCGTTGGCACTGTTGGCACTGCCGATATCAGTGGCACTCCTGGCACTGTTGGCACTGCCGGCACTGCCAGTAACGGTGGCACTCCTGGCACGGCTGGCACGGCTGGCACGGCTGGCACTGTCCCCTCGGGTGACCCCGCAGAGGTGGCCGAATCCCCGCGGCCGCTCGGCCATCGAGCTCTCGCTTTCATGACAGCTCCTCTCACTCCCTGCCGGATTTGTGGCCTCGCCTTGCCACAAAATTTTATTAAATTCCCGATTTCCTGCTGAGGCTGCAGGGCTGGAATTGATGGAGGTGGATGTCGGGAAGCGCCAGAGGGAGCCTGGGTTTCATCTCCCGGCTGAATTGAAGATAAAGTATGAAATATTTGATTTTAGAGATGGATTCCTGTATTAATTAAATATATCGGATACGCCAGTGGAAATCATGGAATCGGGAATCAGGGAATGGGTCGGGTGGGAAGGGACCTTAAATGGATCCAATTCCACGGGCAGGGACACCTTCCATGACCCCAGGCTTTTCCAACCTGCCCTGGGATTCTCCCAGCCACAGAATTCTCTGGGAATTCCATCCCCACCCTCCCAGGGGAGGATTTATTCCCAATATCCAACTGAACATTCCCCTTTTCCAGTCTGAGCCCATTCCCCCTTTCCCTGTCACTCCATCCCTTGTCCAAAGCCCTTTTCCAACTTTCCTGTCGTTCCCTCACCTCCTGGAAGGCCACAGCTGGATCATCCCAAAGCTTCCCTTATCCAGATGGAACAATCCCAATTTTCCAGCCTTTCCTCACTCCAGAGCTGCTCCATCCCTGGATTTCCCTCCTGAGCTGGGAATTCCAGGGCTGGAGCAGCTCTGTCTCCCCCGAGGGGGCAGAATCCTCCCCTCTCCTGCTCCATTCCCTGTTTATCCCAAAAATCCATTTCCAGGTGTCACCATGCCATGGAAATGAGAGTGGAATTCCCAGAAATTCCATGGGGATCCCCTGGATCGCCAGAAGGGGGAAAACTTCCTGGGGGGATGTGGGGACACAGCTGGAAACGCCAGGTTTGGAAATCCCAGTTTCCCTATGGAATACCAGATCCAGGGAGCAGCTGCTGGGGAAGGAGGGAATCAAATCAATCAGGAATATTCTGGGATAGAGCAGAATTCCAGACACCCGTCCCCAGCTGCTGGGAGCTGGGGAAAACCAGGAAAAATCCATGAGGAAAACCAGGGGAAAAAAACATGGGGAAAAACAAGGAAAAGCCATAGGGAAAACCAGGGAAAAGACATGGGGGAAACTGGGCAAAAAGCCATGGGAAAAACTGGGGAAAACTGGGAAAAAAACATGGAGAAAACTGAGAAAAAAACATGGGGAAAACCAGGAAAAAAACATGGGGAAAACTAGGGAAAACCATGAAAAAGCCATGGAGAAAATCTGGAAAAAAAACATGGGGAAAACTGGGGAAAACCATGAAAAAGCCATGAGAAAAACTAAGGAAAAGCCATGGGGAAAAACAGGAAAAATCCATGGGGAAAACTGGGGAAAAAGCATGGGGAAAACCTGGGGAAAACCATGGGGAAAACTTGGGAAAAAATCATGGGGAAAATCATGAAAAAAACCATGGGGGAAACCAAGGAAAAACAGGAAAAAGCCATGCAGAAAATCAGGAAAAAGCCATGGGGAAAACCAGGAAAAAAACATGGGGAATACTGGGAAAAAGCCATGGGGAAAAACCAGGGAAAAGCCATAGTGAAACCCTGGAAAAAGCCATGGGGCAAACTGGGAAAAAAACATGGGGAAAACTGGGGGAAAACCATAGGGAAAACTTGGGGAAAATCATGGAGGAAATCAGGAAAAAAACATGGGGGAAACCGGTAAAAAAACAAGAAAAAACATGGGGAAAATCAGGAAAAAATCACGGGGAAAATCGGGAAAAAGCCATCAGGAAAAAACCCAACCTCAAGGATCAGCAACAAAGGGCAAAAACAAAACCCAAAAAAACTCCGGGAGTTAAATTTGGGAACGTTTTTCCACGGATGTCACCCGAGTCAGGGATCTTATCCCTGACGCTGCAGCTTTGGGAACATCAGATTTCACCGGGCTGGGCCTTTCCTGCCCGGATCCCGCTGGATTTGGGGCTGGAGATGGGAATTTCACTCCGGAGCTGCCTCTCCAGCAGTGCTGACTGCTCTGCTCCTCCAAGATGCTGATCCCGGAGAATTCCAGAGGCGTCCAAGGGCACGCTGCACTTCCGGAGATGCTCAGCACCTTGAAAAGTTTCTTCTCCTTTCCCACTTTTTTCCCCTTTTCCCTTTTTCCAGCAATGATTTTTTTTCCCTTCTCTCCCATTCCTGGCCACAAATGGCCAGGAAGGAATTGAAAAATCCCTTTTTTGGGGGGCAGTTTCCATGGAAAATCCCATCTGGAAGAGGCCACAGCCCTCACAAAATCTGATTTACACCACAAAAAATCTGATTTTCACATCAAAAATTTGATTTACAGGGATGAGCTCTCTGGGCTACGAGCCAAAATTCCCTAATTTTTCCATGTAGATACCTCTGGAAAAGGGAGAGAACAGGAGGAAAAGCTTGGAATTTGCTCATGGAGGAAAAAAAAACGGGATGTGTCTCCTGGGCTTATGGGAACAACCAAATCTGGTGTAAAAATGATCAAAACTCCTCAAAAAAAAATTAGTTGGAAACACAAAAAAAAAAAAAAAATCACATAAATGGGATGGAAAATGCATCCTGAAATTCCAGGATCCGTTTGGGATGGGAGCGCTGGGATCAGCTGG